ATGAACCACATAGGGCCTTGTAGGTAACCAGCACTTTGAATTGTGCCCGGAAACAAACTGGCAACCAGTGGAACTGTTTCTACAGTGGCATACTGTGGTCTCTGTTACCTGCCCCAGTGAATGCTCTGGCTGCAGCTCTTTGGACCAGCTGAAGTTTCTGAACACTCTCTAAAGGCAAGCCTAAATACAGCATGTTACAGTAGTACAAACAGGATGTAACCAAGGCATGTACCAATGCACCCAGATCCAGTATCTCAAGAAATGGGTGCAGTTGGCACACACATTTTAGAATTACAGTCTTCAGGGGGAGGGTAACCCTATCTAACATAGGCAAGATCCTTGTTCCCTGATCTGCCTTCCGACTGACCAGGAGCACCTTTCTGTTGTCTGGATTAAGTTATAATTTGCTTGCCCTCATCCAGTCCATTACGGGTGACATACACTGGTTTAAGATGAGGACAGTCTCCTTGGATTGGAAAGGAGCAGTAGAGTTGGGTGTCATTTTCAAATTGATGGCACCACACTCCCAAACTCTAGAAGACCTCTCCTAGGAGTTTCATGTATATGTTGAATAGCATAGAGGACAGAACAGGATCCTGAGGGACCCCAAAAGCCAATGGCCAGGGGGTTGAGCAGGAGTCCCCCAGCACTGCCTTCTGTATTGACCCTCCTCCATATGCTACAAGATACTAACACAGCTACATCTTTGAAAACTTGGTACAAGTAGATGGGTGAAGGAATTGATGAAGAAGGAAAAGATGAGGATTGTTCCCTGCATATACCTTATATACTCATCTATAAGTCAACTTACAGGTCACTATGGTAATGTGATAGCAGCTCTTTCAGATTTCCACGGACCTTGGAAGATAGTTTCTTTTTCTCTTGAGCCAAGCAGAGTCTTGCATGATTAATTGCTTTTAAACAAACAAACAAGAGACTCTCTCCCTCAGGCACTGGTCATTGCTGTCTGGGTGAAAGCTGAAACCAAAGTTGAAATAAAAAGCCTCAGTTAGAATCTCACTTGTTGTATGCACACATACACACCCTCAACTTATCCACAGGTCATGGCAAAATCCATAATTTTGGCCTCAAAACCTGTCCTTGACTTTGGGGGGAAGCAGACGAGGGTGTCCGGGACGCCGCGGGACGGTGCACCACGGGACCGTGGCATCCGCACCGTGGCGCACCGTCGGCACCTCTGAAAGGAGTGCTACTCCTTTCAGAAGTCAGTGAAAGTGCGCCCTAAAAGCGTAGGGCGCGCTTTCACTGACTTATCCACCGCAGCGTGTGCAGACGCTGCGGCAGGAGGTTGCCCTCGGAGCGCCGGCCGTGCAGAGGGCCGGCAGCTCCTAGGGCAACCTCAGGAGGAGGAAGGGGCGCCGATCGTGCAGCTTCCCCTTCTCTTCCCTGCCTCCAAGACGGCCCAATTAGCCATCTGCCGAGGCCCTTATACATGAGGTTGACTTATAATCAAGTATATATGGTACTCAATTTGCTTCAAACTGTATAAACACTCACTTTGAAAGTTGCTTTGTTGAACTACAACTCTCACAATCTCCCAGCCCTGTGAGGAGTAATAATCTAGAAAATGAACTTTTCTAATCTTTGGATAGGGAGAGAATATTATTCATCTTCTGGCTGAGAAAGAGAACAACAGAATCATCCACAAGGTCTCTGCAAGATTCTTTGTGCTCCAGTGAGAATTCCTCTGTACCGAAATACATACTACTTTTTCTGTATAGAAAACAGTCAAGACCATGTTGCACCCTGGTCTGGAAAATGACATGGATGTGGCCACTGAGAAGAACTGGACCAATGGTAATAGGGTTACTACAGTTCAAGTAGTAGAAGCATGAGTCAGCATTTGGGAAGCTGTGCATCATGGGAGATCTGATTCAACATGCACAGTGGGCGAGGCCAGCCAGGTATGCATCATGGGAGGTGTGATGCAACAGGCCTGATGCAACAGGCACTGGAGATTAAACCAGCCAAGTTTCATTAGTGCTTGGCTGTCACATGTTCCCAAGAAGATCACCTATGTATGGGACAGAATCTCTGTTGTTGGTTAGTTGTGGTTGGTGGTTGGCTAAGCACTTTATTGGTCCGTATAGCAGCGAGTATTCAAGACGGATGTCTGGTACTCTTTGTATCTTTGTAAATATTTGCAACAAAGATTAAAGCCCTCACTGAGTGAAGTCTCACTATCCAGTGATTCATTTTTCCAAACTGAAAGCAGCAGCCTGAATGTGGGAGGATTTTCTTGTGTTGTCCGGAGCAAGACTCTTCACAGAAGACCATTTTCTGGGCGCTTTTGCCTACGTGCTTCAACTCTCTCTGTGTGTATGCTAGATCCTGCCTGTCTGCATACCCCAACAAAAACATGTTTTTATGCAGAAAAAAAATATGTGCATCGGCAGATTAACAAAGACCTATGCAGAAAACAAAACATCTACATCCTTAATTCTTGATCCGCCCACCTGTGGTATAGGGGAGAAGAAATGGCATCTCATGTGTCTGACTACTACTTTGCACAAATGCTAATACAAATCTATACATACGATATGAGACTTTTCAGCCATGGACTGTCTAAACATAGCTTCTTCCTATGTTCTCACCATTATTGCATCCCTTCTTAAAACTCTAGATGCCCTTCATGCTTTTACAAAAGCAATCTCCTCTGACCTAGCTGTTTATTTGCTTTCTTACCTGGCCAGATTTAAAGATTTTCTGCTCTTCCCCTTTAATAAGATTGGATGACCTCTTTGCTCAGTCTCTCCCACCCCCAACCTTCCCTAACCTAATGTGAGTATAGTCCCACTGCTTCCTTCTTGCTTTTCCTCCATTTTTATCAGTGTAATTTGATGTGATGTCGCCTCTCTTGCTGTCATATAAATCATATTGCTGTGTTTTTATGGGTTGTTTTTTTTTCACTGTGGAGTTACAACTTTCATTAGAGTATGATTGGGGCTTATGGAAGATGACTTGACAAGTTGGTTCCCTTGTGTCTTCAACTGTCCTATTATCTCTTATTAATTCTTCTATAAGGTCTCATACCTGCAGTGTTCAGCAAGACTGTCGAATGGATGTTATAAAATTTTCAGCTGCTTCCCTTTATTATCAGCACGTCCTATTAAAGGTTGCCCTTAAATTTGACCTATATAATATTATGTCTCAGTTTAATATTACCATCCAAATCCCCCCACCCATTTTGGATATAATGGCACTGTTTCATTTCAGTGAGAAGTGACATCTCAAATATGATCAGCACTGTCTCTAGAGGCCAATGTTAGCACATTTATGTAATGTTACTATGACTTATGATACAGGTGGCAGGGAGTGGGATTGGATTTGCAATCATTCAAGTCCTTGGAAACTACGGGTGCATCTGCACTGTATAAATAATGTAGTTTGACACCACTTTAACTACCATGGCTCCATTCTACAGAATCCTAGGATTTTTAATTTTGTGAGGCACCAACACTTTTTGGCAGAGAAGGCAAAAGACTTGTAAAACTACAAACCTCAGGATTCCATAGGAAGATGCTACAGTACTTAAAGTGGTGTCAAACTGCATTATTTATGCAGTGTAGGTCCACCTTACATTATGTACACAGATGTTTGAGGTACAACTGAGCTAGTCTGGGGCTGCAGTTCCTATACATATGCCAAACAAATTTTGTGCTCCATAATCTCCCATGGATTCATGGTTTTACACACTTTCAAAAAAGTACACATCTGAACATAGTGGGCAGGCAGGAGCACACATTTCAAATGCTTAAACATGCTTTAATTCAGGGGTGGGAGTCCTGTGGCCCTAGGGCACATATGCCCCTCCAAGTGCATTTGGGCACAACCAGTAGTCTCATCTGGCACCCAAATATAGGTGAGGAAAAGGAGAATACTATTCCTGGAAGCCTCCAGGAGCAGAGATACTCCTTTTAAACCAAATGCAACCCATAGCCTTTGAAAGTAAAAACAATACAGTCCTCCCCACCCCCCAAAAACCCTAGAGATGGGCTTCTGGTTTTGTTTTTTTCTTCATTTGTGTGTGTGTGAGAGAGAGAGAGAGGGAGGGAGGGAGGGAGGGAGGGAGGGAGAGAGATACTGCATGTGCCACCCATTTGTCCCAAAGCAAGGAAAATGGGTCCCCATTCTTGAGATCTTGATCACCCCTGCTTTAATCAGTAGCATGGTGTAAAACATGTAGTGGAACAGACCAGGCACATAATTTGGAAAGGCAGGATGTCTGCAGATTCACATTTTATAGATGAACACATCCTCCATTGCAATTATGTGCATTAAAAATTAATATATCAAGGATAGCTAAACTAGTGTGGAGTAGTGGGAAAGAGAAAACAACTGTGGTTCCTGTGTTGGTTGCTGCCATGCAGCAAACATAGTGGAGATAAGCTCCACATACTCTAATATAGTCAACTGTTTATTTAGTGTTTAAAAAGCCCAATGCATTTCGGCCACACTAGGTCTTCCTCAGGGGCTTTCAAAAGAAATCACTGGAGTTGCAAACACTTTCCAAAATACAGGACCATAGAGATTTCCTGTTTGCTGCTTGGCTACATGCTTTCAGTTCCTTACCTAGATTGTTGCCATGGGAACAATTCACAATGGACTGACAAAACTTATGAATGAAATTGCCATAGATAAAACCATAATAGTACAGGCAGCCAGTGATTTAAGCATTGGACTATGGCTCCAGAGACAAGAGTTCAACTCTCTCCTTGGCCATGGGTAATCTTGGGCAAGTCATACTCTCTTAGCCTCACTGGAAAGCAAGGGCAAATCCCTTCCAAACAAATCTTGCCAATAAAATCCCATGATAGGTTCACCTTTGTTATTGTTGTTGTGTGCTTTCAAGTCATTTCTGACGTAAGGCAAACTTATCATGGGGTTTTCTTAGCAAAATTTGTTCAGAGGAGGCTTACCATTGTCTTCCCCTGAGGCTGAGAGAATGTGACATGATCAAGGACACCCAGTGGGTTTCATGACTGAGTGGGGAATCAAACACAGGTCTCCAGAGTTTTAGTCCAACACTCAAACCACTATGCCACGCTGGCTTTCTTAGGGCCATCATAGGTTGAAAAGGACTCGAAGGCACACAACAATAGCTGAACCACAGTCCTAGAACAATCCTACTGATATCTTACAGCAGTTCTACTGAATGACCCAGAAATATTCTGCAATTAAAAAAAAAATGTTGCTGGCATCAAAAGAGAACCATTTCTGTACTTTGAATTTTTTCCATTATGGAAAAATCTGATAAGTTAGAGAAAACCTCACTGAGAGATTTTCTTAGCTTTAAAATTGGTATTATTATTCTCCCAAACAAGGACTCAAAGCTACTTACAACTAAGATAAAATATAGTTAAAATATACAAAAAACAAACAAACAGTAAAATAGAACTATACCATTAACAACAACAACAACAACAACAACAACAACAACAATAATAATTTATTTATATTCCACCTTTAGCCAAGGCTATCATGGAGCTTACAATTTAAAAATACAATCCTGTATAATATAAAGGACATATCACCCCCCCTTAAAAATATATTAAATCCGTAAGAACATTAAAATTTAACTTAAAACAAATTACAAATCTAATACAATTAGGACGTTATCACGTGGGGAGCTCCAAACAGAGGCTTTAAAGTGAAAGTGCCGCAAAAGCGGAAGCAATTAATTAGCCGGCTTTCCCCGTGTGAAAACCTCCTGCACATTTAAAAGGAGGTTACTCTGAACGGAAAGTAGGCAGAGACTGCTTCTTTTTATTTTCGGAAGATCCCAGAAAATAAAAAGAAGCAGTTTCTGACTACTTTCTGTTCGGATTAACCTGCTTTTAAATGTGACGTCGCCTGAATATATACCCGCTTTTGCGGGTTATTTTCAGTTTAAACCCCTGTTTCCTCACAGGATTTCCCCCGTGTGATAACGTCCCTAGACAGGGCACTCTGATTATAAAGGAGTGATCTAATGGTGGGGGAGAGATTGTGGAAAGTATTCTATACTTTAAATTTAAACTTTAGAATGATATAATTAAATTGTATAATGTAAAATATACAATTAAAAATGATAAAAGCAGATTAAAAACAATGCAATTAAAACAGCACCCTTTTAAAAGAAGATAAACTTTAACTTACAAAACTATCTACCATTAGCCAATTTGAGTGGAGCTAATGGGTAATGTAGGTCTAAATAACCAATTCCTATTGTTAGTCCTGGCCAAAGCAGATCCATTGAATCCCTTGGGTTGATGTATATGTTGACTCACCATTCAACAATTGGTTCTATGGTTATGCTCTAGTCAGGACTAACCAACAGGAAGGGGTCTCAAAATAAGCAAAACCTGAACTGGGAACCAGTTGGTGTTTTCTAACAGAATTCCAAACCAGACTCCTAATCTATAATCTATAAAGCATGCATGTTCCAATTCTTAGAGTTTGACAGTTTAACTCCTGCATCTTTATCTTTCACTTAACTATGTAGGTATATTGTGGCTAGCTGAGATTTTCTAATCACTGATTCAAATATCTCAGCATTAGAAAGTATACTTCAAACTGTATGTTTTAGTCAAGCAATGTTATGCAGTAGTGTTCCCACACCAGATGACACCCGCTGTGGAGGTGGGGCTTCTGAGGTGGCAGGGCTTCAAACCCTGGACCTCCGGTGGTGTTTCTGGGGCAGGGGTGGCCCAAAAATCCTCTGCACAGGGCGTAGGTTGCCTACAAATGCCCTGAAATAACACCTGTGGGGGCGAGACCTGATGTCACCCCCCTTCTTGGATGTCACATCCCTTCTGGGGTGTCACCCAGTGCGACCTGAACCCCCCGCACCCCCCAGTGATGCTACTGATGTTATGTCATTTTAAAAAATGTGTGACTTTGTACTTCACATGGCATAAATATTGCTGTGAAGTGAAGGCATATTATTATTTCCCACAAGGTTTCTGTAGCATTTCTACAAGCCCACAGACTGCCAGAAATAGTGCAAATTGAGTCCACTTTAACTACCCTTACTCAGTGCTAGGGAATCATGGGAACTGTAGATTATTGTGGCACCAGAGGTCTCTGACAGAGAAGGCTCAATGTCTCAGAAAAAAATACAATTCCCATGATTCCCTAGCATTGAGCCAGGGCAGTTAAAGTGGACTCAATTTGCACTATTTCTAGCAGTCTGCAAAGGCCCTAAGTCAAATGTTGTGCTAAGATTTTAGCAGTCTTATCAAAGGGCCTAAGCAGACGGGTGGCCGTGGGCCGCCCTGGGAAGGTGCGCCACGGGACCGAGGCATCCCCATGCCTCGATCCAGTGGCGCACCGTTGGCGCCCCTGGAAAGGAGTGCTAAAATAGCCTTTTCCACCACAGTGTGTCCGGACGCTGTGGCGGGAGGTCCTCCTCAGAGCACCGGCCGTGCGGAGGGCCGGCTGCTCCGAGGACGACCTCAGGAGGGGGAGGGGGCGCCGAGCGTGCGGCTGCCCCTCTCCTTCACTGCGCCGAGGCCGGCCTATTAAGCCGTCTGCTTAGGCCCAAAGTAACCTTTTTGGATGCCTTTCAGATTTAGGGTAACTTTGGTCGGCTGTTCTCTACTTGTGAAGTAGCAACACTTTTTAAAAAAGACTTAAAATTTGAAATATCTTCTAATCTGCTTCAGTTTAGACAAAGAAGAACCTACATATCCAACATGGAAAATTGGTCCTCTTCTATAGAAATGCAGCCAGTCTAGTATATGTTCCAATATTTCACAGATGAGAAGAGAAACATATGTGACCAAAGAACATCAGAGTGGGGCCAAGATGGCAAAGCTTATTAATAAGGAAGACTACACAAGCTAGGAGAGGCTCCAGTAGTTTCTTTTTGTGCGAGCCTCCTGGGAAGCAGCAAGATTTCATCTTGTGCTCTCCTTTCCCTTTTGAGTGCAAATTACTTTTAAACTTTGAACTCAGTTTTGAGCAGCTGAAATAAGCTGAGGACAAAAGGGGAAAATGGAGAAAGAGAGAGAAATTGCAGCATATTAAAATAAGCTTAAAAGAGTGGGAAAACAAAGGATTGATCCAGACTGTCCCTGCCAAATTGGGACAGTTAGAGGCTACGCTCTAAGCCAATTTGTTATTCTGTGCTTCAAGTTATTTCCAGTTTATGGCAAACTTAATGCCACTCTATCATGGGGTTTTCTTGGCAAGATTTGTCCAGAGGAAGTTTGCCATTGCCTTTCCCTGAGGCTGAGAGCATGTGACTTGCCCAAAGTCACCCAGTGGGTTTCACGGTCAAGCTAGGAATTGAACCTTGGTTTCCAGATTTGTAGTCCAACACTCAAACTGCTACACCAGGCTGCAAGCCAACATATAAATGCTATTTTATTTGACCTCCTGTAGCTTAGCTCCTGTAGATTAGTGGCAGTTTGTATCATTGCCACTGATATTAAGCCAAGATATCACACATCTCTATGGGACTTCCATATTGTACCAGGGAAATGAAGCCAAGCACCAGGGGATGTTTATATCACTCCTATTAAAGATACAAATGTTTATAACTTTCTAACTGTTAGAATATAGATGGCTTATATAGTCAAAGGTGAAATGTAGGGATGTGTGTGTGAAATTTTCCTCATGAGAACAACATCTAGAGAAACAAAGGGGGGAAGCAGACGGGCAGCACGGGGTTGCCCCGGGAAGCTGTGGATCGGGGCCGAGGTATCTGCACTCCTCAGCCTCAAGGCGCAGCATCCCAGGCTTCTGCAAGATGCCGAAGGTGCGCCGCAAAAGGCCTCCGGCGCACCTTCAGCGCCTCTTCCACTGCAGCGTGTGCGGACGCTGCAGTGGAAGTGCGTCATCGGAGCGCTGGCCCTGCGGAGGGCTGTCCACTCCGACGACATTTTCAGGAAGGGGTTGGGGTGCCCAGCGTGAGGCTGCCTCTCCCCTTCCTGGCCTCAAAAACTGCGCTTTGCGCTGTCTACTTAGGCCCAAAGTGAATCTAACCCCAGATGGCTACACAGACATAAACGTGTACTTTCCCAAAGGTACAACTCATAGACACAGATTTTGTTATGGGAAGCAAGAGATATCCAAAAGGTAAGCAATACAGCAACTTCATTAGGTCATGAGAAAATAATCACGTGGTGGATGATGGACAGCAAGAGGCTGGGTTAATATACATCATACAAGCATTATCCAATCAACATAAGGTTAACACCTAGAAGGTGGAGTATGGGAAGGGCCTAGAGAAGCCTTTGTTTAAGGATGTTTATATTTAAAGATGTGAGTGTGTGACTGCCTGGCTGGAGTGGTCTTAAACATGGAGTTAGGAGATGGTTTCTAGTATGTTTATACTGCTTTTATAATGTTACTCCTAGATCTGAAAACATGGATCTGTAACTTCTTTTTAACTTTCAACTACAACAAGTTGGGATCCTATGCTTTTGGGATTGTTAAAAATGTAACCTCTCATGGCTGAACCGGACAAGTTCATCACAATGGATTTTACTTAGCTATCTTATTTTTCTTTTATATGCGTTAATAAAACTATGCTTTTGGACTTTACAATGTGTCTTCTTGACTGAGGAAGACAGGATCCTGAAGAAGGGAAGCTGAGCCAGTTGATGGTAAGAGATACAAAGTGGCTGTGGATCACAGCAGCCAGCTTGTCCTGCAGATTCTGCTGGGTGTCAAAGAGCATCACTGCAACACCCATCATCCACACACTGATACTAACTTTCTAACATTCACTGATTCAATTGGCCTATTCCACTTGGGATCAGCAATTGGATTTTGGTCTAAGGAGTTTTACTAATATAAATAATACATTTTTCCCCCAAATATTAATTACCAGTCATTAAAATTTTGTACTTTGCTTCCAGTGGTGCTAATGAATGTGCATTCCAAAATGTATTGTGCTAATAAGTATACATTCCAAACAAAGTTATTAGCACCAAGATTGCAGCTATTATAACTTAGGGGCAAGAATTTCGACAACAGTCTTCCTCAGTGGCCTACAAGCATTCAAAAGATATATATGTGTGTGTGTGTGTGTATATATATATATATATATATATATATATAT